GTACAATAGTTTATGATCTGGTAACTCACGTTAACGACTCACTCTGTTGTCTCCGACTAAGATACAACGACACATATCTCGTAGCTATCGTTTACCGCCCCCAACGTCCACTTCGGAAATGGATTCCTGCTTGCTCGGTGGCCTAAACAGAGTAACACACACTAGGTACAGCCACATTCTCATCAACGGGGACTTCAATCTACACAAGCTGGAGGTTTCGGCATCGCCCAGTGAATCCTTCAAAGCAGCCTTGCATGAACTGATCGCTAATATTCCTTTGTATAATCATGTCACCACGCCCACTAGATTCAGGACAGCAAACAAACCGTCCATATTGAACCTTGTGCTCACGAATGATGAGCTCATGGTTGACAAGTTATTGATGGATAGTCCATTAGGTCTCAGTGACCATGTAGTAATAACTTTTAACTACGTGTATTATGCAGAGTATCCATCTGAACACTCGGAACTAACTCTTACAATCACACGCTACCACGTATTGAAAGAACTCGCCGACGCAGCTCTTTGGGAATTCTCAAACAAAAGTCCCCTTGACAACGTTTGGGCAGAGTTCGTTAATAGACTCAGCGACATCGTCAACATAGCGTCAGAGACCAAGCCCCTTCGTCCTGCGAAAATGCCTTCAATTCTAAGGAGCAGGATTCGAAAATGCCTGGCGATAAGGGATGCAGCATGGCGTGCTTACAAGATTAACTCCGACTCAGAGACTTGGGGAAATTTCCTGACCCATCGCAACCATTGCACTGCACTAGTCCGTGAGGACAAAGTAACTTATCAACAGTGCCTAGCCAAAAAAATTCATGGCAAACAGCAAACTGCTATATAGGCATGTCAATAAGCTTCGCAAATTGAAGCATGGAATTGCCCCACTGTTCACGACAGGTGGTAGAGTACAAAGCGCCGAAGAAGCAGCTAATGCCCTGCGGCTACAATACGCCACAATTTTTGAACGCGCAGCCTCTATCTGCCCATAATGTCATGCACCTTGTCGACTTCATTGTTTACACATGTAGTTTTCAACGCAACAATTGTGCTAAGGATGTTACTCTCACTGCGCGAGCATAGTTCTCCGGGAGCAGACAACATCCGCCCGAAGGCACTGCAGGACGTGGCCAACATGCTAGCTGAACCACTGTCACAATTCTTCCAATGGTGCTTTGAAGAACAACTATTCCCCACTATGTGGAAGTGTGGCATTATCACCCCTATTTTTAAAGGCGGTATCCGTTCAGATCCTGCAAACTATCGTCCAGTGACTCTCCTACCTGTGCTCGCGAAGGTGATGGAAGCAGTCGTCGCTGAGGCTTTAATGGACTACCTGGAGGAATGCAACATCTTGCTACCGGACAAGCATGGCTTCCGTCAACACCGTTCATGCACCACCAACCTAGTGATTGCACGAAGTAGTTGGACGGAAGTGGCTGATGATGGGGGCGGAGTCGACGTCATCTATCTGGACTTCTCCAAAGTTTTCGACCGACTTGATCACCGAATCCTACTTCAACGGCTACAGAGTTACGGAATCAGAGATCCTGTACTTGGTTGGATTAGCAGCTTCCTTTACCAACGGAAGCTTCAAGTACGTGGTAGGGTATAACTCTCTAACCCAATTGAGGTGGAATATGATGTCCCACAAGGCTCAATACTGGGACCGCGCTTATTCTTTGTGGTTATCGACGACCTGGTATCAGTTATCTCCTCAAATTTTCTGCTTTTCGCCGATGACGTCAAGATATGGCGGGCGACTAGTAACAAGCCAGATCAGGATCTGCTCCAACATGACCTATATTGCATTTACGAATGGTCAAAGAGGAACATGCTTCAATCGAACATAGCTAAGTGTAAAGTGATACCTCTGCGTCACCAGCCGGTGAGCGCTTACAAGCTTGGAGACCACACCTTATCGAAGGGCTCTCAGGAGCGTGATCTGAGTGTATGGGTACAGGAAGATCTCGCGTGTTCAAAACAAGCAGAGGAGGCAACGATAACCGGCAATCAACACTTCGGCCTTCTTCGCAAAGCCTTCGGTCGGTTTTAACCCTCAATCTTTCCCCAAATGCTTAACGCCTACGTGCGATCGCAAGTGAAATGCGCTATTCAGGCGTGGCAGTCGTAGCAGAAACAGGATCTCGTTGCTCTCGAGACTCCTCAACGAAGGGCAACCAAGAACGTCTGGGGATTCTTTCATCTGCCCCATCAGCTTAGACTGAAATCTCTAAGAATGTACAGCAGTCGATATCGGCTTTTGCTAGGCGATCTCATAATGGTTTATCAGATTCTGAAGAATCCAAACCACATTTGCCATCCGCTGCTGGAATTGAACCACAACACTAAACTAAGAGGTCACCCTCTGAAACTGACAATTCAGTATAGCCGCCTTGAATGCCGTAGGTATTTCTTCTCCCTCAGCGTGTGCAAGCCTTGGAACGCCCTCCCTAATTATGTCCTCTTTGCTCCCAATCTGGCGATATTTGAGAAACGTGTTGCTGATGCCTCGTCTCACTTACATTTGATCTTATGACCTGTTAGCCAGGGGCTACAAAACGCAATCAAACGGCGTCTTGCTAAACGCTTAACCAATGGATTTATGGATTTATATGTTTTATACGCGAATATCTCCGCTATTTCACATAAGTCTATGGTGAATGCACCACAACGCTTTTCACTTTATCATGCAATTGATTTTCGCAATAATTTCCATCCCATGGGACTTGTTTAGCAATGCTATTTTTACCCATAATAAACTATTGTTCCATTGTTCCATTACCTGTGCTTACGCTGATATCCCCCATTGACCATGGAGCCACAAATCACCTGAGTCTTTCTAGTGACATAGAAACAGCCATAACTGGTTTGGATGGTGTAAATATGGCAATAAGTGGCATGGCCATGGTCTTACGGCTACACTGTTTTGCATTAAAGGCCGAATACGTACACGTCAACCTCGGGGTTCTTATGGAATCAATAAGCGTCCCGAAGAGAGACGTAAGTTGCTTGTGGTCTACCCGTAAGCTCCGAATGACGGTAGATGTGTCTCGGTAATGGATGCTTTTATGGAAAGCTTCATCTGCTCTTGTGCCAAGCTAACAAGTTGAGTGTCGTCGCCCTTACTGGGGATTTAACTGCGCTTGGGACTGCTTCTTACCAGGAAAACATCGCTTTGATTGTCCCAATGCGGTAGATGAGGACCGAACAGTTGACGTAAATAGACTTCCCCAATTGAGTTTAAGACATTCACCTGTTTCTATCGAACGCTAACATCGGTCGTACGAAGAAACGTTCTGCAAATGTGTGTCCTCATCGCCAGCACAAGCGTGGACTAAAATTGACCACACTGTATTCAGCTTCAGATGGCAGGGTAGGGTACCAATTTCAGCTTATCTTGGTTTACCCGCACGGACCAAGAGCATACAGTGGTCTGTGCAAAGTACCGTATGTGTTTTGGAAGGCCTCCAAAAGCGGAACAACACAGGATTGATGCGAACAGACTGGCTAGTTCCTCGGCTCAGGAAAGTAATAATTATCTACTGGCAGGCGCACTTATTTGCAATGCATCACATGACATTGAGCAAACATGGGCCTTCGTATAGGAGCCAATGAGCATTTCCAGACAATCAAACTTCGGCCTCGCTCAAATTCACCTACAGAATTAGATCTTTGCTCGCTCCTTAAAGCTGCTTAACTGTCGCACATATGTTCTGGCCTAATCATACTGTGATAAGTGGCACCGCGCTGCCAACTGACAGCTCAAACAAAGCGTGTGCAATGATCTCTAAGCTCGGTGGTCTTGGCGTACTTTGGATGGAGTACGCTGCCTGCACTGTCCATGCTGGTAAGCCTTCGACACTCATTCGGTCTACTGGCCTCATGAAGCCTGGTGACATGGTGCTTATTTGCGAGGTGGATGAGTTTCCGCTCACCAAACAACAGAGGCGTTTGGACCGCTGGGCAAAGCACATTTTCGTTCGCAGTTCACTTGACCTCCACCGTCCAGTCGTGCGTGCACTGCACCTAGTCGCATACCCTGGCTCGTTTAATTGGATCCACCTAGCGAAGCAGATGTCTTTCGTTATTCAACACTTGGTACGATTCAAGGTTTGCCGATTCAGGCGGACTTCCCCCGGAGTTGTTCAAGTGTGTGCAGTAGTACCTTTTAACCGACTGGCCATGTTGCTCTTCAAAAGCAACATGCTCTTCCTAGGGAGAATCAGTAGTCGCCTCTATTTTCCAAGTAAGGCGCTCACAACGCATGCGTCAACATATGCAGAGCTCATAAAAAATCATTCAGATGCAAACAGTGGTAGGGTTTAAATTCCAATAGGCTGTCTCTGTATTCGAACAATGGATGATATGAAAACTTTCTCTGTATTTTCCCGGATAAATACTTTAGAATCGATAGCAAGCTCACAATCCGCTACCCGCTGAAGCTCCAGCGCGCAAGAACTAATATAAGAGAGGCGTATATGCAGCCGGGTCAATGTGTTTTGATACTAAACTTTCGAATCAAATACATTAACCTACTACTGCTGACAAGTGAACTTGAACAACTAACTCCCAGTTCATCAGTTTGAATGACAGTGATCCACATTTGGAATAAGTTTTTACTTTTTCGCTCGCTTAACCGTCGTAATAACGGTAGGGTTGAATACAAAATATTGAAAGGAATGGTAAAATGCACTAATTTAACAGAGTTGATAATTAAAGAACCCCTCTCTTTCTCAAGGTGAAGATGGAACCTAGGAAGTAACGGTATAATTGACGGACAACATATCACACGCTTGTAAACTGGATGCCAGCAGGCAATCTAAATGAAGGTTGTCAAGAATCTATAAAGGTTACGAGTGCAGTTTAAGCAACTTTCACTTTGGGACATTTCCATATATTGCAGCAAAAATACATCTAAAAGACGGTGATATAGAAAATTCAAAACCGAAATGGCAAGCGATTTGCAAAACTGTTGCTTGGAAAACGTCACTCACCTGAAGGATAGAATCTATGGTAAGGGGACTCAAGTATAACTTTAGCCACGGTAGCTATACATGAGAGTCTACTGTTCTGACCACAGGAAGCCTGTGATGGACTAAATGGGATAAAATTAGCCTGTCGAAAACTCCGTCGAAATCTTCGGCTGTGGTTACTCGGGTTAAGGTGACTGAAAGCTCTTGTGAAAGAATTTCTTCTCCATTGTCCCGTGGAGTTCGGTGATGTTCGTTTATGTTTAGCTTCAGAGCAGTTGTTTGATGAAGAATGCTCCATGGGCTGCGTCAAGAATGTTGGGGCAGCCACATTGACAGTAACGTTCTCATCGATTTTCCGAAGAGGACTAGAAGAGACCAAGTGGGGATAGGTCGACTGGAATACTGTGACATCTGCAGTGGAGGTTTGTGAGTAGCAGCTGAGAAGTGATTCGTGGAGTGCACTCTCGGAATTTCCCGTTGACTCATTCATAGATGAATGGGATACGTGCATTCGACGAATTTCGTTCATATCGTGCCAGTTGGCGACGAATGAGTGCAGTCGAGAGATGCGTCGTCCGAGACGAATTTTTTCGTCCAGCACGTCTATCTTATTAAGAAATACAATCATTGGAACTGATTTCAAATACCTAAAAAAAAGGAAAATGTTGATGCGGCGTATTAGGGCTCGTATATATAACAAAATTTACACTTAGACTGTCTTTTTAAGTTGCATAAATTGCATTCTACTTTATTTGGTTTGTTCTGCCTACCTGAGAAATCCACTAATTGGTCCCGTTGCCTACGCTAATTGCGCTTATCTTCGGGAACTTCGTCGCGTTTGTAGCATTTTTAAGCAACTTGTGGACATTTTTGCTTATCGCGGAGTTGTTGCTAACCAACTTACTTCATATGCTAATTTAGCGAATAATTATACCACCGTATCTGGATGTATTATTCGATTTATTTTCCTTCATCTTGTCGTTTCAAGTGATTGGCTGTTGCTTGATATCTCCGGTGTGGTTGCGCTTGCTATGCATGTTGACAAGCTGCCTACGTGTCTAGTACCCACAACCTCGTTCCTACTGGCTCCAAGAGACAGTTGGTCGTTGCTGGAGGGGACAGGGTTCACAGTCCTTGTGGTCGTGCTAAGCTCGAAGAGTGGTTCCACGCACTCATTGTGGAGCGGACTACGGTCAAGCTGCAGCCTTGTGTGCTTGTGTTTGCCTGTGAAGGAGTATGGGCCGGCTCCGTTGATGAAACGTGGCTCCCATCCACATGCCTCCCGGTCTTATTCCTTCGGGTTTACACTGGATATGGGGTGTGGGGATGGAGCTGTGGGTGGTGCAGCGCAAGCCACCCATGGTCCCTCTGTAGGCGCAGGCGTCCTGTGGCTGTCCCTGTGGAGGCCACAGTGACAGGCAAATCCGAAACTGGATGCCGCCAACCATAGTTTCTTAACTTTATGACACTGTGTAGACTCCGTTATATATAGTTAAGTTACACGCAGCATGCATTCACTACTTCAACCTCTCCTTCCTGACTGCATGAATCCAAATATGATTTTTACCTAGCGCCACCGGCAAACTGTTAAAGTATGCGCTTCTAAGGACAGTGTGAGTTTCAAAATGTTTTAGAAGCCTCTAGGTATCTTCCTCTTGATGACTGGTTCACACATGCAATATAAAGGCGCATCGTGGTAAGCCCCAAACCAGCACAAGTGTTTGTAAAGAACTGCTTTTTAATAAGTATAAAGTTATTGTTGAATCAACAACTGTTTTTAACTCGCCTTATTAAAATATGCATATACTGAGCAGAACGTAACATATTTTTCACGTGCTTGCTCTTATGCTCCCGCTGTTGCTTAAAATTTAGGACAGTTGAATGTTGATTCCTCAAGTAACCTATGGAAAAGTTAGGTCATGCATGAGTACCACACAATTCTAGCGATAAATTTAGTTATTGTGCATCAAATTTTGCGGGATGTTGAAACTAGTGGCGCATACTGGTGAGACAGCAGTTAAACGCTCTACTGCTAATTTGCAGTTAAGTTGCTTTGTTTTGTTTGATGTTTTGTCCACTGAAATCATTTTTAATGCAATAACCTCTTTAGTGGCGTTGAATTACTCACAAGACAGTCTTTAATTTTCTCAGTTGAGTCCGTATGGTGTTCACGTAACATATGGTGGCACAGATCACCAAATCTCACGGCGCTGGGAAGTATTTATATCTCGCCGCCGTTTCGCCCGTTTGGAAATGTCTCCATATGTCCCGCATACATCCAGTCAGTAGTAGCAGATTTGGTGAATACGATCGCTTGTACTCTTCTCGTTGTTGATTGAAGTACATGAAAAGTTTTCCAAATTAGTACTTACTGCGCCCCCCCCCATCTAGATCTGCGGCATAGCTATGCTAAACAACCAGTCACTGAAGTTGGGCACTTATGGATTATGGGGTTAGGTAGAGAGACAGAGGAGAGAATAGGGTCCAGTTTGGATAAAAGTGATCCCTACAACATTGAACTTGAGCGTCGCTATCCAAACAAATGATGTGCACTTAAATGGGACCTTCCAAAAAGTCATTAATTGTTATGCCCAGCATTGTCTGTTGTGACCCTTGGGCTTAGACTAGTGGTTCTAACAAACCGCCCATAGGTCCTGATATTTAGGCCTGCTTTCTCTACCTGATAAAATCAAGTAAGGTCGCAACGCGTAGTGGAGTGCAGTGCTTTCGGGAGCGGAGCACCCTAGTTATTTCTGCTTCATCAGTTACGGTCCTGGTAATGGAATTGACTAAGATTCAGTTTAACACAAATCCCGTTCAACCTTGAGAACGCGCGTCGCAACCCAATCCCAAAACGTGTACCTCAAAATGCGACTTCAATCCCTATACCATATGTGTTCATAGACTGAACCTCTTCGTCACGCTGTACGATGCGTCAAGTACTTTACCGTGGAATATCCGCGTTGCGTAAAATGCACATTTTCTTTTTATGGGTTCCACTGAACACACCCCCATAAACCTGTATCAGTAGATGCTCAGGAACTTTATACTTCCCACAAACTTACGGGCAAGCCCTTGAGGTCTAGGGATCTCTTCGTATGGCCAACTACAGCAAAGTTGCCCACTAATATTATTAGACACCAGACACAGCCCAGGATAACCTCATGACACCACAGTGTCCTTGTTTTCAGTGTCCCTGATGCTGCTGATATCCAAGACCGTAAATAACTTTGTGATTCATCCGATAGGAAGCGTCACATGTTTAATCCATTAGATTGCCTAATAAGTTACATGCTTATCTGGCATCAGTTAGACTTAGTTCTACTGAGCACTCCACATTGGAAAAGCTAGTTGGAGGGCTTAGTACTATTAGAAGAATACATCACTTAGCTAACATACTCTTCAGTAGGTTGTTGTATCGACTCTATGTGTGCCCCATGCTGACGCTGATGTTGCATTCATGATACTTCTTTACCGCAGTTGGGCTAAACCAACTTACACTTAAACTTGGTCTTTTTAAATTGGATAAATTTCATTCCACTTCATTTGATTTGTTCTGCCTATCGAAATAATGTTCTTTTAAATTTCCACGTTGCTTTCGGTAATTGTGCTTATCTTCCTTAACGTTATCGCGTTTGTAGCATTTGCTGAGTCACTTCTGGCCGTTTTTCACTTATCGCGGATTCGTTGCAAACCAACATACTTCATGTGCTAATTTAGGGAAGAGTTATGTCTGCATAGCCGTATTCTTGAACAGATATATTCTATTTGTTACCGTCATTTCAAGTGATGGTTGTTGTTTGACATCCCCGGTGCGGCTGCGCTTGATGTGCATGTTGACAAGGTGTCTGTCTGTCTATTACCCACTACTTCGTCCATACCGTCTCTAGGAGATAGCTGGTCGTTGCTGGAGGGGACAGGGTTCACAGTCCTTGTGGTCGTGTTAGGATCAAAGAGTGGTTCCATGCACTCAGTGTGGAGCGGACTACGGTCCAGCCAAGAGCTTGTGTGCGCTTGATTCCCCAAATACAGCGTGATTGTGTTTGCCTGTGAAGGAGTGTGGGCCGGCACCGTTGATGAAACGTGGCTCCCATCCACATGCCTCCCGGTCTTATTCCTTCGGGTTTACACTGGATATGGGGTGTGTGTTTGGAGTTGTGGGTGGTACAGCGCAAGCCACCCATGTTCCCTCTGTAGACGCAGGCGTCCTGTGGCTGGCCACAGTGACAGGCAAATGCGAAACCGGATGCCGCCAACCATGTTTCCATCTTTCCAAAGGCGTCTACTGCCTCTATTCTGAGTGCACCCCTTAAACCCAGCGTGATGTACTACTAATGAGTAGTAGGTTGAAATGCGCAAGCGCGATGAACTCAGCGAATCATTGATCACTGTGAACTACGGGCGCTTAGTGAACAATTCAACTAGACCTGAAAATAGATGGCGCTGGAGAAAGTCTGTCCCCAGAATTGTCTCTTTCGCGTCCGGCGACACGACGAAGAGATGGTTGAATTTATGACTCCCGATACCAATCACGGGCTCCGCCACACCATTTATGCGTACATTGTTACTACCGACCGCCTTCACCAATATGGAACACGATTGGATTCTCACTCCTTCTCGGGGGTTGGTCAGGGAGACTGCCGCTTATGTATCGATTAAAAGCCTCTCCGTTGTTCTATTCACCTCTATCGTCGCTTCAATCGCTCCTTTATTCAGCGCCCTAGGTATGCACTCTCCAACACGAAAACAATACTGTTTGTAACTTTTATTTGGTACAAAGAGTGTAGTGCGCCTTGATGGGGATGGTCGCTTCTAGTGGCACAAGTGCCCACAAAAAAGCATCGCCCACTTTGTCATCTTCTCTGACAGGTAATTCGAAGTGCTCCGATGGCTTGCGTAATCTGCTCCAACCTAACCTGTCCAATCGCTGGTTGTCTTTTTAGTTTTCGATTCCCAATGATGCCGCTGCCTTTTGTACTAACTCACTTGCCACTCGGGCAAGTTCCAGCACAGTCGTTCTTTGGGTGGCGTTCACAATGCGCAATCGGTCCGCCATCATTGGAAGTACACTGTCCACAAACTGCTCCACTAAGAGTAGCTGTCTTGACGCGTCGTCCAAATCTGGCGATCCAACAAACCGTCGAGATGGACTGCATACACAACCGTAGCCGCTCATAGCCCAAGTTGGGCTGCCTTGCATCGTCGCATTGCAGCCTGGTGGTAGGCCGGACTGTCAAACCCTGCGACCAGCGCTCCCTTGGACTTGGTCCATACCAACTTAATTGCTGCCTCCAGGACTGCCTTCGCAAGTAACTTGAATGGAACACGAAGTGCAACCAGCTTCTCCTTTTCCTGCTTCACGCCAACTACTTCCGCGACATCTTCGAATTCCCCCAGAAATCTCGGTACATCCATATCCTCAAATGGTTCCGGCCACTGCATCTTTGCCTTCCACCTTCGGCTGGTTATTGCACCAAACGTGCAAAAGATGACGCCATGCTAACGAGTTGTACATAGAGAACGAACATATATATGGTATAACACTTCCAACCTAGAACAGTCGGACTCATCTGCGCACATCATTGGTGGGACAATTTTACTCCACGCTGGACGCTGTGATATCCACGCTGATTCCGTAACAGTACAG